GATGTGTTACTGCTGACGCTGCACCTGCTTTCATTGCACATATTTTGCAGTCCCCCTTCATGGCTCTGAAATGACGTTAATAGATTGCACTGCTGTGTATAAATGTATGCTCAAGAACCAGCACAACACCCTCGCCCCGATATAGAGACAAAAGGAAAGCAGTGGATAATAAATAACTGTATACAAGTAGGACAGATTTCAGTCTCTTTTGTGTACCAAGATAAACTTATTTTTAAATTCAATTTTCCATAAATTTTTTGAGATATTTTTGATTAATAACAAACGCTTGGGGGCGATTTTCTTAGATGGTATCATGAGATAGTTGAATGCTTTGTGACAAGATACCGACCAGGGCTGTCTGATTTGGCTACAGTATTTGAATCAGTGAAATAATTTTCCTAAATGGTTCTCAACTCCTGTTCACACTCTGAACAAAGCAAAGTATCACCTGATGTGCATTTCCAGATTCCCAAAAAGTCTATCAAAGCTCACCTCTCCTTCTGAATAACTAGGGTGAACAAAGGTCAATGCTAGGTTCCCACACTGACAAGCAAGTGTTTCATCTAGGCCCAAGTCTGAACTGGAGGATACGCGTGTGTCACGGAGGACTGGCATTTGTGTTGTGGGATGCGCAGCATCCATGCCTGGGATGTTTGCACAGATCTCCGCGATGCCCTCTAGGGGGCACTAGCCACCTCATTAAAAACTTCACCAACAGCCACAGGTCTTGAAACATCGCCAGTGTGACTACAGACCTAAAACAAGCCAATCCTGAAATGACAGGTATTATTATTTTTTAATATATAAGGCAACATTTATGCAAAATACAGAATGAGTAGATATATGTATTTTCATACATTATGTCATGAATATTTTTCTTACATTGGATGACTTGGGGAAAAGATAAAATTGGGGTTATATTGTTTTAAGTAAATAGTATTCAAATTAATGTCCCCCGTTTCTTTTTTTTTTTAATATGGCTCTTGGAAAATTAAAAATTAGGTACATGGCTTACATTGTGTTCTGTTGGAGAGTGTTGGGATATCCTGGGTAGGAGAGCACTTTCTAACCTCTGAAAAGATCTCTTATGTTTAATGGGAATGTGGTGTAAGCTAGAAACCAGAGAGAAGTTAGAAAGAATTGGTCTCTTATTCTCTAGCAGGATTAACCTGGGACTCCAGTGCAGGACTCTTTGAGTAGAAGCATAAGACCAGATGATGATTCTTTTGTAATGAGACCCCCAGTTTTGGCCCGTGGGTCCTGGCGGGGCTGGCGTTTTTCCTACTGCACTCACCTGCTGCTGGGTCGTTTGGAAGTGCAGCTTGACTTTGAGACGTGGGAGTTCTGGCCCCGGAGACAAAGTCTCGTGCCAGCTCTGCTCAAGGCAACCCGGAAGAAGCCCTACAAAGGAGAAAGAAGATCTTCTCTCGCTGCTCGCTGGCTATGGACAGATAACGGCAGGTGGCTGAGGTTCAATGCCAAGCCCATGCTAGCGCCAGAGGTGCAGCTTAGAGGAATCAGAGGCAGCCTCCTAGCCACGCTCACTGTGTTCCTACGGCTATTATGGGTTTACAAGATGAGACTGGTCAGAATCTTTGTCCTATATTTAAGGAGCTAGCTGTTTTTGTCCCAGTAGAAGCTTTCATGGTCAGAAGCAGGAACTCGCGGGGAGACCTGGGTTAGAGGAAAGCCTTACGTTTCCCGGCTTTGAGGGGTCCAGGGTCTGTGACCTCACTTGTTTGCACTCTCCTTTCCAGGTCTCGGGTCTGTGAAATGTCTCCCTTGTGGACAGGCACTGCTCAGCCAGCAGGGGCTGCTTTCCCCCACAAAGTGGTGACGGAACGGAGCTGGGAGAATGTTGAAGCCGCGTAGCATTTTTACAACATTTCCTAGCCAGTTTTCAGAATTCGGACCCTGTAAGACACTAATCATTCTCACGTTTGGAGATTGACAAAGAACGAGTGCATCAGGGTTATATATAAAATACAAGCGTACATAATTGTCCTCCAAGCCCTGCTCACCTCAGTGTGAAGCGGCAGTTCCCAAACTCATTTTCATCAGAATATGCACCCCGTTACACTCTGCCAAGAAGTATCACCTCTGTGTATCCTACCCCAGGAAATGTTGTGTGAGCAAAGACCTTTCTAGTCGGAGCCCCTTGACCCCATCCTCAGGGTTGGCTGCCTGCCACGTGGCAGAAGACAAGGCAGGCACGCCCCGACTCCATGTCACGCCTCCAACATCCATTGTGCAAATTTCATTCCTCGGGGAGCCAAGACAAGCTTGGCAAATAAAATGGAAAGGCGATGGTGAGTTACAGCCAGCCCTGGGGGCGTTGCCTCGGAAACCACTATTTTAGGTTGGTAGTGGGGTACAGGATAACAAAAACTCGTTGTTGTTTTTTTTTTTCATGATTTTTATAAAGTCCCGCGAACTCCTCCAGCTCTCTACAAATGACCAAAAATCAGTCACCTTCTGCAGTAACAATACTTCAAAGCCAAAGGCGGGAGTGGTGTTTACACCCACGTGTGTGCCTGCACAACTCGCTCTGTGAGGTAGGGGCAGAATGAAAGCAAATGCTTCACTTACAAGCCCTGCTCTGATGAGCAATGACAGATGTGGAAAGATTGCTAAAGGATAACGTTCATACTCAATTTACAACATTTGCACGTCTGCTTCATCAAGCTACATATCTAATATAATCTCTCAAATCCCCAAATACACATAAAAATAAGGCCCAGCAAGTGACAGTAGACACAGGATAGGACAAGAGATTCAGGATACGGGAGGCTCTAAATCAGCGTGCATGGGAGCACACCCCGGTGTCTGAACGTCCTTGTGAACGCGTGATTTCCCTCCAATTTCTACCATAAACATTTTGGATATGCAGAAGCAATCGGAGTAGTAGTGCAGTTAACAACTGTGAAGAAGGGTGAGCATCGTGCCACTGTTCACTTCATCTCCGTGCACCTGCATGTAAACGTGTGTGGAGCAGGGGGGTGGGGATGTACTTTTTCACAATCAATTTCAAGCATTCTGATGCTTTACCTTAAATATTTCAGTGTAGACCTGCCAGAAAAAGGACATTCTCTCACTGAAAATAGAACATTTTCTTGCATAGGAAATTGGCAACAATTCTCCACTTCCGTTTAACACCCAGTTTGTCCAGGAAGCATTCAGAACTCACACACCGCATGCAGTTATGTGTCTAGGCTCTTTGGGGTGTTTCTCACCAACCTCCGTTTTCATGGGTCACTCTTACGGCACAGCTCACTGTCTGCTAAACTATGATGTTTGAGTGATGAGTTTAAGCCAATCGCATTCAGAGTTCATATGAATGGGTGGTAATTTGGTTCTGTCATCTTAGCACTGGGTTGTTCATTGATTTAATCTTCTGTTGTTATTTTTTCAAAGATCTATTTCTTTTTATTGCAGAGTCAGATATTCGGAGAAGAGGGGAGACAAAGATCTTCTGTCCGCTGATTCACTCCCCAAGTGGCCACAACTGCTGGAGATGAGCTGATCTGATGCCAGGAGCCAGAGGCCAGGAGCCTCTTCCAGGTCTCCTACGCAGGTGCAGATCCCAAGGCTTTGGGCTGTCCTCAACTGCTTTCCCAGGCCACAAGCAGGGAGCAGAATGGGAAGCGGGGCTGCTGGGATCCCAGCATGTGCAAAGTGAGGACTTTAGCCGCTACTCAGAGTGGAGCTGCAGTGGCTCATGAAGGGCCAGAAGCTCCAGGGCTCAGGACTCCTGACCTCTTCTTGTTTTAAACAATGGAGTTCAGGTAACTGCATTGTGTTAGGATGCTAGGAGACAATCGCCTTGATAGACGGATAGATCTATCCCCCTTCCATCAGCCACCCGTCTGGAATAGAGGGGGCAAATGGGGCAGCAGCCCTCAGTGTCGCTTTCCCTTCTGTAAAGCAGAGAGAACGGGACAATCGTGGCACGGTGGGTGAAGCTGCTACCCAGACACTGGAATGCCATATTATGCAAGTTTGAATCATGGCTGCTCCACTTTCGTTTTTTGCTCTTGTTTATTTGAAAAGCAGTTATTGAGAGAGGAGGAGAGACAGGGAGAGAATATGTTTTATCCAGTGACTCACCCCTAATTGGCTTTAAAGGTTATGGCCAGGCCAGATCTGTGCCAGGCTAGAGCTTCTTCTGCGTCTCTCACATGGTACAAGGGCCCAAGCACTTGGACCATCTTCCATTACCTTCCCAGGTGCATAAGCAGGTGGCTGGATCAGAAGTGGAGTGACCAGGACTTGAACTGGCACCCATTTGGGATGCTGGCGTCGTAGGTGCAGGCTTAGCTTGCTAAGCCAGAGTTGCAGTCTCATCCACTTTCTGATTCACATTTCTGCTGATGTACATGAAAATGCAGTGGATGATGCCCCCAAGTGCTCGGACCACCTCATCCATGTGAGAGACCTCAATGAAGCTCCTGGCTCCTGACTTCAGCCTAGTCCAGTGCATGCCCGTTCTCTCTCTCTCTCGTGTGTCACTCTGTCTTTCAAATAAACATATATATTTCTAAAGATTATACTTTCTGGGAAGGGTTATTGTGAGCAGGAAGTAAGAAAATGCATATAACAGTATCTGAGACCTATTAAACTGGTGACAAGTTGATTGTTATTGTTAGCAGTGTGACACTGGGTATTTGATCCCTGCTGCATTGGTACTTTTCTGCGTAAACCACTCACTCATCCTCAGGCTAACAGTTAAGTTTGGGGTGAAGGCATGATCTTAGGATTAGGAGGGGAACCAGTCTCGCCTGGCGATCCAGGCACCCCATAAACCCACCACCGCTACATTTTCATGAAGGTCAATGAATAGTTAACACACAGGTGTCAGTTACCGTAAGCTGATCACAGCGCGGCATCCACTTGAATTAATTATATGCAGGAGGACAGAACATAAGACACCTTTTTCTCAGAGCCCCACGTTTTCACTGGCTGCCCAGAAGCCTGGAAACCACAGGGCGAACTTCCCGCTGATGGAGGACCCTGAGAAGAAGAGCGACGACAAACCCCGGAAAGTACGATTTAAAATCTCCTCCTCCTACAGCGGTCGAGTGTTGAAGCAGGTCTTTGAGGACGGGCAGGAATTAGAGTCACCAAAGGAGGAATATCCTCACAGTTTTCTCCAGGAGTCCCTTGAACCCATGGATGGTGTGTACGGGTCTGGGGAAGCCCCCAAGCCCCAGATATACTCCCCTAAGCTGACTGCTCAGAGGATCAGTGTGTTTAGAGAGGGCAGCGCCTACACTTTGGCGAGCAGCCAGCCTCTGTTCAACGATTACAAGGCGAATGACCATAAGGTTGGTATTGTACGTGGCATGTCAGTTGAAGGGCAGGGTTCTTGCAGTGTGCTTAAAGGAGCACGTTAAGTGCTTCTGATTTGTACCTTGCTCACTCCCTGGTCCCACCTGGAGACTAGGGTTGTAGGTGAGATCAATGTTATTAGAATAACGTGTCTGGGGCAAACATAGCACGGTTATTAATGACTCATTGGAAAGCGCAGTGAGCATGTATGTGATACTCCACTTCTGTGCAGGGTAATACATTGTCGCTGAATCTGGCAGGGCTTTCTTGGGATGGAAATTAAACAGAGGTGCAGTGGTTTGAAGATTACCAAACTGCTTTTAGAAAATTGTGTGGCCGTGGGTCATTTTGTTTTCCGAAGGAGCTGAGTGCTTGCAAATGCTGCCTTTACTGCAGACACTCAGCATGTAGTTGATCCATGCCTTTCCTGCCGCCGTCCCTGCTCCCCCACTGCCTCCTGCTACCTACTTTCTAAAATGTGTGTCTGTCTATTTTTTTTGCCGTTTCATAGCTCATTAGCATGAGCTCTGGATAATGGGTCTGTTGAGAAGAGATGGTGAAAAGTAAACCAGCTAGAGCTTACATTACCTAGGGAAGAAGTTCGAGTTAATAGCTCAATGGAAGCAGGTGTTTTATCTGTGAATTTCAGTTGCCTTCTCTAGTAATGTGTATAATCAAAAACCCTGACATGATGTTCTTTCAGGCTAGAAGAACTGGGAAAATGCCAGTGATTTCCAAAAATTCATGTGAGATGTGTAGAAACTCCCTGTCAATGAGAACATGACTACTTTTTAAACAAGATTAAATACAATTATATAGTATGTACAGGTTATTAATGAATAGCACACCAGGGTATGCTCTCACTTTTAAAGTGTGAAAATCAGATAATTACCCTTGAATCATTTTTATTATGTTTCCTAAGGTAGTAGGTAATACATTTATTGTAGGCAAATGTATTGGTATTGCTGGTGCTGGTAAAAATGTAATTGTGGCTGTATCCATAAATGCAAGAGATAATATCAGTTTTTTTTTTAATATTCAGGGGAGCTGGGATGAACATCCCCTTATTGTGGAGTGATCTATGTTTTATAAAGCACTGTGACTTGTTTTCTCTGTCTCTGCCTTCCACATTGGGTCTCTATTGTATCTTTGAGGAGGAAGGCAAAAGATAGCCTTTCTTTCTCTACTTCTTTTTCTTTCTTTCTTCTTTCTTTCTTTCTTTCTCTCTCTCTCTCTCCCTTCCTCCCTCCCTCCCTCTCTCTCTATTTCTATCTGTGTATCTTTTTATTGGAAAGGCAAATTTACAAAGAGAAGTGGAGACAGAAAGAAAGATCTGTCTACTTGTTCACTCTCCAAATGGTCACAGTGGCTGCAGCTGAGCCGATCTGATGCCAGGAGCCAGGAGCCTCTTCCAGGTCTCCCAAATAGGTGCAGGGTCCCAAGGCTTTGGCGTGTTCTTCGCTGCTTTTCCAGGCCACAAGTAGGGAGCTGGATGGAAAGTGGAGCATCTGGGACTCACTTCGGCACCCACAAGGGATGCTGACGCTGGCAGATAGAGGATTAGCCAGTTGAGCCAGCATGTTGGCCATAGTATAGCCATTTCTGCTTTGCAGATGAGAAAAATTGAGCACCATATTATTAAGGGACACATCCAGTTTTACAGCGACATAGGTGTGGACATGTTATAAGAATCCATGTCTTCCAACTCCCTGTGCCTTTTGCTTTATGGCATGTTTCTGCATAGAGAACAAAAGCATTACATAAAAGCAGTGGTAATAGTAACATCCACTGTGAACTGAGGGTTCAACTCCTAGGAGCTCAGCTCTATCTAGCACTAGCGGTATTTGTTGTTTCCCATTAAAAAGAATATTTCCATTTCATTTGAAAAGCAGAGAGATGGAGACAGAGACCTTCCATCTGCTTGTTCATTCCCCACATGCTGCAACAGGTGGGGCTGGACCAGGCCAAAGTCAGGAGCCAGGATTTCAGTTCAGGTGTCCCACATGACTGACAAGGGCCCAGGTACTTGGACAGTCATCCGCTGCCTGTCTCAGTGTGCTGGATCAGACGTGGAGCAGCTGAGACTCAAACTAGGCACTCCAATATGGGTTGCGGTTATCTCAAGCAACAACATAACTGCTACAGCAAATACCTGCTCCAATATTTCTTTATATATTATTTGTAGGTTTAGAATTTACAGAGCTGGAGTTCTTTGGACAAAACGAGGATAGATGATTTTTGGACTGCTATACATCATGTGCTAAATACATTAATGGAAATGTTGATTTGATATGAATTTACCAAAAAATATACAGATTTCATGACAAGATGGTGCAGTTGGTTTGAATATGGCACTCCAGAGGCCTTGCTGAAATGTTGAGACCTGCTTGCCCCCAGCATTCTCATTTTCCTGTGGCACAATCAAGTGTCCCGTTCACTTGGTAACCTGAGCCAACCTCTGGGTGTGAATGGCCAAGATGGATTCTTATGGGGCCACCCATGGAAACAATTTGTCAGTGTGATTTTTATGGAAAAAAATCAAAGAAATGAGAGCTGGGATGCCACTAGTTTTTGTTTTGTTTGTTTTGTTTAAAGATATATTTTATTTTTATTGGAAAGGCGGATATACAGAGAGGAGAGATAGAGAAGATCTTCCATCTGTTGATTCACTCCCAAAGTGGCCGCAACGGCTGGAGCTGAGCCAATTTGAAGCCAGGAACCTCTTCCAGGTCTCCCAAGTGGGTGCAGGGTCCCAAGGCTTTGGGCCGTCCTCGACTGCTTTCCCAGGCAACAAGCAGGGAGCTGGATGGGAAAGCGGGGCTGCTGGAATTAAAACCGGCACCCACATTAGATCCTGGTGCATGCAAGGCGAGGATCTTAACCACTACACCATCGTGCTGGTCGCCACTAGTTTTCATTAGTGAGTCTAATAAAAAAGAAGAGGTCTGGCAAATTCTCACAATGAGACACCATCAGGTTAAGCGCAATGATTCAAAGCAAGGACTCTGAATTGCAGCAGATTTTCATATATTTGTGTTCATGACAGCATCATTCACAGATGTCTATAAAGGTAGTAATGATACGAGTGTTCATTGCATGTGGAATGGGCAAACTCAATGGGATGCAGACTTATCACGGAATACTACTCAGACTTAAAAAGAAAGGACACTTTGACTCGTAATACACATGGATGAATCTTGAGGACATAATGTGGAACCAGCCAGTCACAGAAGGATAAGTGTGGTGTGAGTCCACGTGCATCATAGACTCATCACGTTGTGTCATATTGAGGCAGAAATAGGAAGCCTGTTGGCAGCAGGAGAGAAGGAAGAGTTATTGTTGAACAGATTCGGAGTTTCATTTAGGAAGACAGAGATCTGGAGACTGATGGTGGTGGTTACACAGCCCTAGGGAGGCACGCAAAGCCACTAAACTCTATGCACTTGGAAGTGGCTACCATGGACAGTTTTTATGGCATGTGTCTTTTTCTATAATAATAGTATGCTGGTTCAAAAGATAATCATACGGTGTGCATATTTTATCACAGTAACAATCATGATAACAATTTAAAAGGAAGGGCTCACTGTCCGTCAAACCAAATTTGATGTCCAGTTTGCCCACTTGCCGTGTGAAGCCAGGCAAGCTTCTTACTGTCACACAGCCCCAACATCATCATCTAGGAGATGAAGGCAACGGAAGTGTGTGCTTACGAGGGTTCATGTGGCGATTCCAGAACATAACCATAGGAAGCATTTACCATAGTGCCTAGCACATCATATATGTTCAGTAAATGTTTTCCCACTATTGTAATAAGGAGAAGGTTCTTACAAAGAAATGCTGAGTTTTTCAATAGCTCTAAGAGAAAATAGCTCTAAATAATTAAAACCTTTTGAGGAATTAAAACCAACTGAAGTTGATAAAGTCCACCAAAAAATGGAAAAAAGATGTCATGTTTGCTGTGAACATCCATTTCATATGTATTATATAATTTCATTTTCATAATATTGTAAAGGAGCTTTACAAATTGGGAGAAAATGTTCTAAGGGTTAAATAATGTGAACATCTCTTGCTGTGGTCAAATAATATCTGAACAAAATTTCACCTCATGTGTGGCTGTCCCCAGAACCCATTACGTTTCTATTTGCAGCAGGGCCATCCTTCATTGAAACACAGGACGCTGGAAAGCTTTAAGGGTGCCTAAGAAGCAATCTCTAGGCATGTTGCCACAGACACCCAGGCATCTGTGGGTGTTCAGTCACACAGGCCGCCATTCTGGGCACTGTGGAAGGAAACAAAACATCCTTGACTCCATCCTGGTCCTCTATAATGCAAGAGTGCATGTTCCTCCTAGGGAAATCGGGTGTAAGCAGATAACATGAACTTCAGTTACACCCAGAGAGTTTCCTTAGACACAAGGAAAATTTGGCTGTCAGGGTAGCTGAAACTTAAGCACACCTTAGATGCTTCGGGCCCCTGTATCTTGGGAACGCAGTATAAAATAGATGGGCTATCCTCAGATGTCTCAGACACAGATTAGCTTAGATGGAGCTGATGCAGGTGCTCTCAGATTCTCGTAGTGTATTCAATGTTTGCTCTCAGAAAACAAAACAACAGCTCGCCTGTGCAGACGAAAGAGCTTCCTAGTAACCGAGCCTCTTTGGCTATTAGTGGAAGTAGAAATGGGACCTTCCAAAGGTACCACCATCCTTATCTTCCAGTGCTCAGAAACTGATAGTCCAGAGTGTGAAATTGGAATCTGGTGTACATAAAACAATAGGAAATGGAAGCTGCTACATGATCCATCAGAGGGAGGGAGAGAAAACGGGGCTGGATAGGGAGCTCATGCCTTCAGAAGTGATTACTTAAAATACCATGAGTGTTTTTAAAAAAACAGATTGATTGATTTGAAAGTCAGTTACACAGAGAAGAATAGACAGAGAAAGAGAGAGATCTTCCATCCACTGGCCCGTTCCCCAAACAGCTACAACAGCCGTATCTGGGGCAGGGTGAAGCTAGGAGCCAGGAGTTCATTCAGGTCTCCATTTGGGCCATCCTCCACTGCTTTCCCAGGCACATTATCAGGGAGCTGAATTGGAAGTGCTGGGACTCAAAAAGATGCTGGCATTGTGGGTGGTGATTAACCCACACAACAGCAGGCCACATGAGTGTTTTAAAGGAAGAAATCTGAATATTGAAGTTCTACTGCAGCCAGATTTTGTCTGAATATGTAAGGATTCTAGATATGAGACTGCTTAATTATAGTACCTAAATAGTTTTTACTTGAATAGTTTTGTTAACAGAGCAGTCGCACCGAAACATTTAGTTCTGTAGCATTACTGGGTATGCCCCACTGAAGAACAGTTTTTAATAATAGTAACAGTGATAGTGCCACCATATGCATATTATCTCCTACTCTGGAAAACCCTCTTTTATATATTTTTAAGATCTCAGAAGGTGATACAATTAATACAGGGATAAGACTGAAGCTAGTCACAGGAACATTAAGCAGAAGAGTCGGGGCGAGGTCCTAGCCACCAGCTCTCATGTTATTGGATCTGAGGCTGTTAAGACTCACTGAAGGAAGGTTGGGATCCCAAGAGGTCATTCATGACAACATCAGTTCACAAGATTGTGTGGAATTGTTGCTGTGTTTTGGGACCTACCTTGTCTGGATGTTGACTACTTGGTGTCAGCCCATTTGCAGATGTGCAGCTGAGGTTCTGAAAGACACATGACTCCACGATGCTCTAGCGTCTCCCACTGTACAGATGGTAGAATTGGGGTCCATTGTGATTCCCCTCCAAGCCGACCTACCAATTGAATGGCCCCAATCCCATGTTTATTCTTCATTTTTCTAGCCCCCACCTATTATCGATTTTGGAAAAATAATCATCTACACAAACAACCTGAAAATCATCCGAACCCCCATGGACAGGAGAGACTTCATGAGAAAGATGCTGCAGAAGGAGGAGGAGGCTGAAGAGGAGTCCCTGATGGGGAAAGAGGAGAGCTACGGAGACAGGGAGCAGAACCATGGGCCTCTGCCGGAGATGGAGAGCACGTGCCGTAACCAATATGCACAGGTATGTCAGCACAGGCCGGCTGCCGCGGGGCTGTGGGAGACAGTCTGCGGTCCAGGTGCCAAAGCTTCCTTCCACCTCACTTCCCTTCCTATCCTCAGCTTCCCCCACTTTTTCACCTCTCCTTCATGTCCTCCAGGGCACAGGCCACTCAGATACCATTGAAGGCTCTGAAGGTTCCCCTCCCAGCCACTTCACATCTTGAAGATATTTTTAAAGATTTATTTTGCTATTTATTGTCATGGAAGAGTGGCGGGGGGTGGGGTGGGTGGGAAATGAAATAGATCGTCTGTCCTTTGCTTCACTACCCAGATGGCTGCAATGGCCACAGCTGGGATAGACAGAAGCCAGGACCCTGTAATTCCATCAGGGTCTTTCATGTGTATGGATCCTCATCTGCTACCTTGCCAGGCAAATTAGCAGAAAGCTGCACTGGGGCAGTCAGGGCCCTATCCTGTGTTCTGACAATGAGATGTTGGCAGCATTGCAGGCAGGGGGTTAACCCAAGGTACTACGACACAGGCCCCTGCAGGATATTTTTGAAATGAATATCTAATCAAGTCACCTCCTTGGTCGCCCTCGTTTCCCTCAAGGCTTTTAATGTCCTTTCGTTCTTTAGGCTAAGACCCCAAACTCCATATTCATTCCCAGAAGTTCTTTGAAGAATGGCCACTACTAGTGTTTCTAGCCATCATCTCTTCCACATCTCTTTCCATCTTGGACAATTGCCCATCTATCCACTCCTCGTGGGTTCTTTGCTTTTTCCAGAGGCAAATGCCCTGTGTCTGGAATGTTCCCCAGATATCTAGGCCTCTGGGACCTCAGAGCATTCTTCCCTGGCTTCCATGAGGATGAAATCCTCTAGAATGGCCCTGAAGGACACCTCACATCGTTCTTCTCAGTAGCAGCCTCATTATTATGTGAATATTTGGTCATTGTTTCTTCTTTGTTAGTAAGGTTCAGTCTCTGTGTTCATGTTGAATACAACCTTGGAGCTCCAAAAGTAAAACCAGGCATGTAATAGGTGTTCAATAAATATTAGCTAAGTGTTTATATGAAGAAGGTTGGTGAATTTAAAACCAAAGTGTCAGCAGGTGAGAGGCATTCATCCTGCCATTGTCATCTCTTATCTTCCACACAGCATTATTAAAATCCTAGCCAGACAGCAGGCAGATGATGGGGCATTGTGATTCGAATGAAGAATGACCTTCCACTTAAACACTTGCCTATTATCTCTCATATTGTAACTTGTAGGAGCATATATTTTTTGCAAGAAGGGCAGAAACAGTAAAATGCAGGTCACCCCGCAGGCCTGAATGGAAGAGCAACAGCAGGCCTGATATGACAATTACTTTTAAATTCAATTTGGAGAGTTCCATGTTGTTCAGCTGTAATGCTTCAAACTAGGACAGAGGTGTGCAGCTAAAGGTTGCAATGAAAGGTCATACTTCACCTGTCTGTCCTTTAGACTGTCTTTTAAATTGCTGTTTGTTTGCCCAATCTTTCCTGCAGTAAATGCACAGGCAAATTTTATTCTCAAAGTGAGGTTTCCTACAACATTGCAGAGCCCCCTCTGACCGAGAGACTTTTTGTTGTGTTGTACAGAACAGGGAAGCAGTGTGAACCTGATGGAAGAGCAGGGCAGGGCTGGACGCCAGGCCACACTTGAGCCTATCTAATAGCAGAGTAAGAAATGGAGAGGAATAATTGAATTGAGCCACAATAAAATGTGCAAGGGAGAAAAATCTGCCTGTGAAACCAATGGACTTTAGGAAACTTAACAGGAAAAAATTTCTGAAATTCATGTATGTGTCTGCAGAAAGTGCATGAAAAATGCTTGCTATGAAAAAAACATCATGCATGAATTTCAGAGTTATTTTTGCATCCAGATAAGTGTATCTTTCTGTTCCTTCCCACCCCCCATGAACTTTTTAAGGCATCATATTCCCTCATCTGATATTCCAGTTCCACACAAAGGTAAACATTATTATTTCCATTTCACAGGTGAAGAAGTGAATCAGGAGAGGTCAAGGTCATTGCTCCAGAAGCATGGCTCATGTTAGACAGCATCCAACCTTAGCCATGGTCGGCCAGAGTCAGAGCAGACTCTTCATCATTGGACTTAAGCAATTCTGTAGCAGAATAAAAGGACTGCAGGAAATCAGAGCTAAACTCTGAAATGTGACAACACTGATCCCTTGATTCCTTTATCCATTCAGTCTCTCAGTCACACCAGTGTTTTTTGAGCACGTATCGTTGGACAACAACGAATCATAGTGTCCCTGACAAGGACATTCTGATTCTGGTGCTTAAGTGCCTGGGACCAAACACTGCCTCTTGTGGACCTTTCATCCACCAATTAGGATGCCAGTGGAGAGGCCCACATCCCGTATGCGAGTTGTCTGGGTTTGAGTGCCGGCTTCCCCAATCCTAATTCTAGCTTCCTACTAACGTGTTTCCTGGAGGCAGCGATGGCCCAGCTGGTTGAGTTCCTACCACCACGTGGGAGACCTGGATTGAGTTCCTGACTCAGTCCCAGCTTTTTTAGCATTTGGGAAGTGAAGCAGCAGACAGCTCATCACTATCTCTGTCACTGTGTGTTCCAAATAAAATCATTCTCTCTCTCACTCCCTGTCTCATCACTCTCTCACCACACTAAAACATACCTATCTTCCAACCTGTAAGTGTGACTATTGGCAACTAAATTCTCATTATCTCATTTTGTTATCTGTAAAACAAAGATATCACACCAGCTCACTGTGAGGATTAGATAGATTGATACAAAGAGAGCTCTCAGAACAACGCCTGACATCTCCCAGCCATGTAACAAAGGTTCTCTCTTACTACTTGGCAAGGAAGAAATTATGGTTCTTGCCCTGTGGGCCTTACAGCCTTACAGTTATTGCTGTAACATGTTGGAGGGCGATAAGGGCCAAGAGAAAGGAAAGCGGTTGGAATGCAGGGTGTGGTGGCAGGGATGTCTTAATTATCCCATGTTGCGGCCAACTCCCTCATTGGCATTTGTGGAAAACACATTCTTTTAATTCTATCCCAGTTTTTGCGAAAGCCCAGTGCTATTTTGATCTGCATGGATGAACGATGGATTTGAACTGCTGTGCTCACTAAACCCTGACCTGTCTCTTGCAGGAAGGGGAGCTGCCTGAGGACAACTGTCTTCACTGCCGAGGGTCGGGCAGTGCCACCTGCTCTCTGTGCCACGGCAGCAAGTTCTCAATGCTGGCCAACAGATTCAAGGAGTCCTACCGGGCGCTGAGGTGCCCCGCCTGCAATGAGAATGGCCTACAGCCTTGCCAGATTTGCAATCAATAGCCTGTGGCTTTCACATGTTTGCTTTCATCACACCCTCCCTCAAATTATTTCTGATAAACTACTCTCTCTTTCTCCTGCCTTTCTCAGCAAGGAAGCCACAGCAGTCCCCAATCACCTCCACCACTGGCAAAACTCAATTTATTCTATGACATTTTGTGAAGCTGGCAACATCTCCATGTGGTTCTAAGTGGCAGGAGCATTTTCAAATTAGAGTCTGCTTTGAAACTGGTTTTAAAATTATCCTTCCAGGAATATGTGCAGGAATCTCACTTGACTTAGCTCAGTTTTCTTCTTGCACCAGTGAACAAATCAATGTACACCCCACGCAGCAGGTTGAAGTCATTTTCTGGTTAGGAGTTGTTTTGCAAAATTATGCAGTGAGAAAAATAAAAATACAGGTTTTAGATGAACATGATGCCCCGATGCTCCTTATACATCTAATTGTCATTGGTCAATTTGAATTGCTAACGAGGCAGAAGAAAGGGATAGATAGGCCTGGTGGAATGCACTGGCAGGCCACCATGAGCAGAGCAAGATGCTTGTTCTGGAGATGGGCAAGCCCAGGCCGCCTTCGCGAAGTCCTGAGGCTCTCCAGTGTGATGTGCTTAGCTGACAGTCACAGAGGCAGCGAGCAATACTCCTCCTTAGGTCAAGACCAGACAAGACGCTTTGGTGTGCCTCTGACTCCTGAGGTTATAAGCCAACACAGAGCTACTTAGGATAAATTTGGTGCTCAGGTGTGCATATGTAGGTAGGACTTCTGATTAATTACCAAGTAAGTACATCTATTTTACGTCTACAATGTAGCTATGGTCTTTTCATAAAGGATGATGGATAGTTCCCAGGTAACTACTGGAAATCTACTGCTAACCTTGGAAGGTTTCTAGCAATTGGGCTCTGTTGCCCATGAGCACACACACAGATGCTTGTTTCATTTTAGAAGAGGACAAGTACGCGGTGCAGTCAAGCAAACCAGTGCTTGAGGTACCCGCCTCCACTGTTGGGGTGCTTTGCGTCCAGTCTCATCTCTGTTTCTGATTCAACTTCCTGCTAAAGTACTTGGGGAAGAAAAACAGATGGTTCTCTGAGTACCTGCCATGTGGAGGATCTGAACGGCTGGATGCTGGTTTCAACCTAGCTCCTCCAGGCTGCTTGTGGGCATGGAGAGTGAACCAGCAGGTGGAAGACCACTCTCTTTCTCTGTTGTTCTTTCAAAGCAATAGAAACATCTTTGAAAAGTTCTTTTATGAATGATTTTTATAGCTCTAACATATAATCCCCATATTCTTAGAAAGTAACTCTGTAAAATCTATTATCTATGGAGGCTTGTTACTTTCTAAAATAATGATTTTGATTCCATAAAAATAACTTCTCAAGATTTGTACATTATTCTCTAATATCCAGCTGTTAAACTATTCCAACAATAGGACTGTTTTCAAGCAATATAAATACTTCTAATAAAAACTCTCAAAATGCTTTTTGAAGTTGCGTTAGTTTGTCTGGCCCTGTTTCCCAGAACTCACTATCTTTGCTTCTTTATCTAGTTACCTCTCTCCTCTATATTCTCACTTCTTGATTGTTTTGCCTTTCCAGAATCTCAGAGGAAGGAGGAGTGCCAGAAGAACCTTGAAGTGCGTTCTACTGTTTTGCCAGGAGCATTTGATCACAAGCCCTGTGTGAGCATCCCCTATAAGATAGTATTATCAGATGCTTGATGCCAAGCCAACAGGTGGACATGTAGAGGAGGAGGTTGCAAGTGAAGGCGTGTGTGTGTGTGTGTGTGTGTGTGTGTGTGTGTGTGCATGAGTGTTGAGTGAGGGAATTGCCTTTGCTTGGAAACCATGATTAGGAATTTGGCTTTTTCTGTCAGATAAGCTGTGCTCTAAATGAGACCTCTTTTCTGTCAACTGTGCCCACTCTCCTCGGGTGTCCTCTGCTAACTGCTGTGCTGAGGCAGAAACCTGTAACCGACTACACTTCCAGGCTCTCTTGCCTGCTGACTTTCTACCAGATTCTACCAAAGGGGGTTGCTGCAGAAGTTGCAAGACAGGAGGAAAGAATAACCTATTTCTTCTAGAACCAGGCTTCTGGCAACTTTTCTTCCAGGACAGCAGCTGCAGCAGAGAGGAAGGCCAGCTCCAGCAGCCTGGCGCCAAGAGTAAGCACTGCACGGAGTTCTGATTGCACATCCAGTGCAATACTATTTTTGTTTGTTCCTCCAGCCTAGGGTTGGTACTGGCTTCCTGCAGTTCCTAATCTTTGTAACCACTTCCCTGTCCAAAGCATCTGGAAGTGGCTTCTGTTTTCCTGATTGGACACTGACTGATATAAATGCTTGGAGTAGAAGAGGGTCATGATCTAGTTTAACAGGACACTCTGGCTACTGTGCTATAAGAGAAGTTGCTGGGGCAGGCTTGTAGCTGGGTGGCCAGTTAGGAGACCAGTACAACACTCCTGGTGTCAGCTCATGGTGGTTTAGTCCAGGTGATGAAAAGTGTTCTAAGGACATACACTGAAGGTGGAGCCACAGGATTTGTCCTTTGTACTCAGAAATATTGCTGATAAAAGGAAACTGTTGTGGTGTCCTAAATCTAATTACAAAGCCTAGAGGGTGGAGGGGGAAGAGATAAGAAAAATTAATCCGTTAATAGCTACAGGTGGAACCAGGGAGAGATTATTGCACATTTCTGAGTGTATGTTGAAACTGTGACTTAAATCCTGCCATTGTGACCTCAGGGCCTCTGTGACCTGTTTACTTGTAAATTTCTCAGATCATTAACTCCAACCAACCCAAGAAGGACATCTCCCTATTTGCTGGGCTCCCACCCTCCAGGTTCCTCAGCCTCTGGTGCCTTTTCCATGCCTGTTACCTACAAGCAAGGGAGGGTCATTGTAAACAACTCATGTTTTCCCAAAATTGATAGAAATACTCAGAGCTCTAGATTCAATGGACCATTTTTTTTAACTGCTCTCTAGCCTGACCGCTTTTAGTCTGTGAAAACTCGACTCTGGGCTCACTGCTTTTCATGACTAGCATTTGCAATAGCTCAGTAAACTTTACTCCCCAGAGCTCTGGCTTTCAAGAGTCATGGTTTAATGTTGCTTCTGACCCTGTATATGCAAGCTATACATGAAGAGGTCTTTGCCTGCTCATGGAGATAAGTTTGTATTTCCTGTGTAATATTTACTTCCTGATTTGTGAACAACAGATATTTTCAGGTGGATGGGGAAGGCTTAGGAGTGAGTTTAGGGTTAGGTTAGTAAACTCATGGATTATAAGACTGCCTTGGGAGTTGGGATCAACAAAGTTAAAAAATAAGATCAGCATGATGCTTTGCTTAAAATAGTGCTAAGTCATTTGTAAGCTCAAACCGTTTTTAAAATTAGTGCAGATCTTTAAAATATAGCATTTATCTATCACTTCTCAATTGGACAATTTTTCACTGGCTTTCTGTTACGTGTTACGCACTGTACAAAGTTTTCAGCACATGAAGATGATGAAAAGCTTGAGACCGTCCATGCCTGCTGAAATTTTGGACACACCTTCAAGTGGGTGGCACAAGAATGGCTAAGAGACCACCCATGGGGAACTTGTACCTGTAGGTTCCTGCCCAACAGTCAGGGGTCAGGGAACACTTAAAATCCCAGGACCCTTCCTCAAACCTTCAGTGTCTCTCCTTTCACGAGGCACCCTGCCTCCCATCTCTCTCTCGGGAGGTGCTTTTCTCTTCCCTCTTTCCCCACTCACCTATCACTTTGCACATAAAACTCTGCCTGCAACCAATTTTTGGCTTTTTATTTCTGTATTAAGCTGGGGAAAGAGCCCACGGAACTTTTCCGGTAACAGGTATACTATTTAACATTATTGAGAGTGTAGTCTTGAATCTCTTTCATCAGCAAAATAAATGCGTTTGGTTTGATAATTGGGGGAAAACACTCTTGCTCTATCCCTTGCTACTCTTGCTTTTATTAACTCTTGCAAATTAGCTGGGCCTAGTTTGAGGGCTGTGTTACAGTCTTACAGTGTGTAGGACACTCTTCTAAGCACTTTGCATTTCTCAACTCCTTGACCTGACTTCCCAGTGTTAAAGTTACCGCAGGTGATAGATCATTTCTTCATGAAAGATACACCGTGCCTTTCCATGCCACACCCACCCGGGCCAGGCACCTTGACTTTCCTGTGCTGCTCATAAACTGATGGCTCTAGATCTTCTGGGTATAAGGCACTGTTCTGAACATGGGAGGTATGCTTAGGGAGCTGATGTTGCATCAGCTTCCTCAAGCCTCCTTTTGCTGACTATGCCAGCCATGTGGAACCATCCTGCCGGTTGTCTCCTTTTGTGGCTTCCCATCCCAGATTATCCCTATTCCTCTGAGTCTGTTAGCACAATGATTCACTGGTGTGTCTCAGCCTCCAGGCTTGTCACTCCGAAAGCTCAGCAAAGCCAAGGAAGTGTCCTGCCCAGACCCCACCCTTCTTAGAAGAGGGGAGAAGGGTGGAATCCAGGGGCCTTAGGTCTTTGCCCCCAGAGTAAGCCTCCCTTTTAAAAATGTTAAATCCACATATTTTTATTTCTGCTTCCAAGTATTCCTGTTGAAGAGAGGTTTGCACATTTAAATATTTTTGCAAACTACATTGAGCATTACCTTTCTGACCGATATTTTGCCTTTACAAATTAAGCTAGCCAAAGACACCAATTAAGCTTAAGTTCATAGGGAAGATATATCTTATTTTAAATCTTGCACAAATATGAATCCCTCTGGTAATACATTCATTTAGGCAGGTGCTGGTGACATTTATTTAAAAGTTTCTGTGGTTTGCTAAAGCTTAATTGGAGTGAATTTTACGCTAAAGGTAAATCTGAAAGAAATGCTCGTGGTTGTTTTTGTCACCTGTTCTCATTAGTTGCATCTCCTCATTTTCTAATTAAACACTGTAATTATAGAGAGTTCACATTCACGCAATTATGTGAGAGAGAGATGGAGTTATGTCAGTGTCA